CACTTGCCTCCTTCACATCCTTTGCCCCCGCCCTTCGTCTTTTGCCTCCGTCCCTCGCTTTCTTTACTGCGGAGATGTTTTGCGTTCGCCTTCTGATTTCTTTATTCCCATCCTACGATCCTTTCCTCTTGTTTATTTTGCCTTTATCATCGCCTGCCTTGACGGTGTCGTCATCTTCTTGACTCGGGTATGTCGTGACCGTTCTGTTGTTGTTGTGCATTGTCATATACGCATCTTTCTACATTACCACTCGTGCAGTCATCGGGAGGATATACCTTCATGCAAACAGCACGTATTGCAAAGAAGAGATACTATGTGAAGAGACCTGGTCGTTTCAACCATGCCGGAAGTAACCCACCCCACAATGATCCAATGGAGGTAGGGGGAAGAAGCCTGCTCTGAAAACCCCCGTTTCCTAGAGAGGAAAGACTGACCAACTCCACCTCAGGCTGTGCAAAACAACCTGAAAAGCCTACAATTCATGCGACCTGGCTTGACTTGTGAGCTTGGTCCAACAGGCTGTTGCTTATGGCAGCCCTAGGTTCACACATCCACTACAAACTGGTTGGTCCGGCACTTCTTGCAGAAAACTGTTCAGTTTTCCTGAAGAAGTTCACTTTCATTCCAACAATATTTCTTACACATGCTGGGAGGATACTGAACAACTGCAGACCTCTGTTGTTCATAGTGTTCTTTGATTGTGCCCCTGGCACCTCTACTCTTCACTGGGTATATTTTGTATTTACTTGCATATCGTTCACTCCAGTATGTTGTTATTTTACTGCAAATTTTGGACCTGGCTTTCGAGTATTTTCCACGTAATTGATTAACAACAACTCTCATCTCCTTGTGGGATCCCTGGACTTGACTCTTCTCATAATCCACTGTCCAATGGATGTCTTCACTTATCTGAGACACTGGGATTCGAAGAGTAAGGTGCCATCTGAGAAGCAGCAGTGACCTTCATGAGGGAGCACCACGATAAGACTGACCACATGGATCCGTTTAAGCCGGCATCCTGCGATGCTGCCACTTAGCCACAGTAGCTGAGACTTGAGGCACAACGACTTGCCTGCTGGCTCCCTCATTTTCTGTTAAAGTTTTGATTTGATGCCCATTACTGTTTAAATTTTATGTTTTTTTATTTTTTTTTTTTTTTTTTTTTAAATTTTCTTACATTGACATTATTTTGGCTTTATGTTGTTTGTTTTTGTTCACCCTCCTTTCTGGTGGCTATTTTTCTTCCCTTAGATAGATTTTTGGTTAATGAGAAAATATTAATAAAAATAAAAAATAAAATTGTAATTTGTTAAGCTTGCCTTCGAGTGATCATGAACCCCCTGCTCCCTGTACATGTGAGGGGATGAAGTTTTTGCCTCTGGTCTCTGGTAGGCTCTTAAACACTTGTGAGGGCCCTGTGGCGATTCAAACTGGGTGTGGCTAACCAGGCAGTAAGCAACAGAGCACCACCAACAGAGCCCTCCCAGAAACATATATTCTATTACAGACTGGTGCTAGATTAACTTGCAAAATATGCTGCAAACTCAAATTATGCAATAGCAACATAGGTGAAATTTTGAACCCTGATGAACAATATTAGTTTATATTAAAACACCCGAGAGGAAAGTATAATACTCATGAATGGCAATGATATATATATGGCACAAGAACTTGAGGAAAACTTTATAATATCTAGTCATCAAGTGGTACTACGATTGCCCGAAATGCTGTACATATTAGTGGCTTTAGGCATAGTACATACTAGCTCCATCTAGAAATACAACATTCTGCTTGTAACATTTATTTATTGATTTATTTATTTATATACAAAAAGGTACATTGAGTTTATAAGAGTAGTACAACCTCGATTCAACGTACTATATGGGACCAACCCCAGTGCGTTGGATGCGTTGCAAGAGGTGACCTTCAGGAGGCGTTTGTGTCTTTTTTTTTTTCTTGTACACAATAAAAATGCATTATCATATTTTTTTTTTTTTTTTTTTTTTTTTGAGATATATACAAGAGTTGTTACATTCTTGTACAGCCACTAGTACGCGTAGCGTTTCGGGCAAGTCCTTAATCCTATGGTCCCTGGAATACGATCCCCTGCCGCGAAGAATCGTTTTTTCATCCAAGTACACATTTTACTGTTGCGTTAAACAGAGGCTACAGTTAAGGAATTGCGCCCAGTAAATCCTCCCCGGCCAGGATACGAACCCATGACATAGCGCTCGCGGAACGCCAGGCGAGTGTCTTGTATATTATATACTGTACCTATATATTATTACCCTACTAAAAAATACTGTGTTACATTTGTTATTTACCTTATTGTTGGAGTTTTGTCCAGCTTGAAGTCTCATGGAGTTGTGAATGCTGTACAGTAAATACGTACTGTAGTGTATTATGCCGTTAACACTGGGTTGATTAAGCAGTTCTGCTGTATGTTGAGTACTACAATATAGTTTATATAAGCTATTGTACACTAAAATTACTGCAACTTTAATTTTAACACTATGTACACGCTTAAAACTCATGCTGGGTATGGCTGTTCTCGTGCTGGGTACAGCTGTTCTCGTGCTGGGTACAGCTGTTCTCGTGCTGGGTACAATTGTTCTCGTGCTGGGTATGGCTGTTCTTGTGCTGGGTACGGCTGTGCTCGTGCTGGGTACAGCTGTTCTCGTGCTGGGTACAGCTGTTCTCGTGCTGGGTACAGCTGTTCTCGTGCTGGGTACGATTGTTCTCGTGCTGGGTATGGCTGTTCTTGTGCTGGGTACGGCTGTGCTCGTGCTGGTTGATTTTCTGCTACTAGTTCTTGTAAAATATTACTTAATTTTGGGCATTAATAAGGCACTATTAGTAAACCCCTGAGACATTTTGTTAAATAACAATACAGCTGTAGTAAAAAAATTGTAAATTCCATGATTATTTTTCCACCGGCGGATAAATACGTCAATCTCAGACAAAGCTAAGGGCACTGGGTGCCTATTGTACGAACGCAGACTAGGTGTATATGTACACCCTACAGTAGGCTAGTGTTTAAGCCAGATCCAGTAACATAAATTTCTCTCAAATATTGGATTTACATCAAATTATATATTTTTGGGTTATATATTTAATTTAGCAACATTATAACGATAATAAGAACTATAAAAATACTTATTTTAGAACTGATTTAATAATTATTATTATTTCAAAGCCATAAGTCACTGAACTATGGCAACGAAATCGACAAAACAAGCATGGTGTTGTGTGCCCACAGATTAGACCTGTCCACTCGCGCTGGACTTGAGCCACCAATAACATGATTAACTTCTCAAATAGCAGATATCCATCATATTGTAGTATATTTTTGGTTTTGTTTAGTTTAGTATAATTAGGATAATATAGTTATTAAAACACCAGTTTTGGAAATGATTTATTAATCTGAAACATTCAAAGTCATGGGTCACTGAACTATGACGACACAGACGAGAGTGAAACCTTACTGTAAAGTGAGGTTTACAGTACAGTTTTCCCTTATCTGTCCACCCTCACTCATCTTGTTTCATCATAGGTAATGTATATAAGAAGATTTCAACACATTAGCCTCCTATTCACGCTTCAGCCTTTAAATTAATTTACAAAGATACGTGTGCTACAAATCAGTGAACGAAAATCATTGAAACTCAGTTGTTCACTTGTGTGGACCACTCTGGCTGGTGTTTGGTTAATATACATCACTTCTTGTGTGGACCACTCTGGCTGGTGTTTGGTTAATATACATCACTTCTTGTGTGGACCACTCTGGCTGGTGTTTGGTTAATATACATCACTTCTTGTGTGGACCACTCTGGCTGGTGTTTGGTTAATATACATCACTTCTTGTGTGGACCACTCTGGCTGGTGTTTGGTTAATATACATCACTTCTTGTGTGGACCACTCTGGCTGGTGTTTGGTTAATATACATCACTTCTTGTGTGGACCACTCTGGCTGGTGTTTGGTTAATATACATCACTTCTTGTGTGGACCACTCTGGCTGGTGTTTGGTTAATATACATCACTTCTTGTGTGGACCACTCTGGCTAGTGTTTGGTTAATATACATCACTTCTTGTGTGGACCACTCTGGCTGGTGTTTGGTTAATATACATCACTTCTTGTGTGGACCACTCTGGCTGGTGTTTGGTTAATATACATCACTTCTTGTGTGGACCACTCTAGCTGGTGTTTGGTTAATATACATCACTTCTTGTGTGGACCACTCTGGCTGGTGTTTGGTTAATATACATCACTTCTTGTGTGGACCACTCTGGCTAGTGTTTGGTTCATATGGTTCACTTGTTGTGTGGTTCACTGTGTTGTGTGGTCTTGTGTGATCCAACTTGTCTTATGAAGGAATTATTTATTGTAATTTGTGATAGAATGAGACAGTTTTCCACCACTCTGTGAACTCTGTCCCAACATCGTAAGCTTGTGGACTGCTTGTGGTCCACATGTGTGGTCCACATGTGTGGTCCACATGTGTGGTCTACTTATGTGGCCCACCTGTGTGGTCCACTTGTGTGATCCAACTTGTCATATGAAGGAATTATTAATTGTAACCTGTGATGGAATGGGAAAGTTTTCCACTAGTCTGTGAACTGTCCCAACATCGTAAGCTTGTGCGGTCCACTTGTGTGAGTGAACTTGTCATATGACCGAATTATTAATTGTAATCTGTGATAGAATGGGAAAGCTTTCCACCAGTCTGTGAACTCTGTCTCGACATCGTAAGCAAATCCGAACATCCCCCGCTTCGGCGAACCAGGTGAGTAAATCCGGCCTGGAAAGTGTGCGAACTAGCCGGAGATCCGTTGAATTGAGGTACGTTGAATAAAAGATTGTACTCTACATAGCATTGATGTTCTACATTCTTGTAAAGCCACTAGCACGCATAGTGTTTCGGGCAGAAAGATATAACTCAATATGTATATGTGTTTTTAACTAAATAAACAATTTATTTATTCAATTTCAAGCTTACCATCAAGAAGACAATGAAGAGCCAAACAAGGCAGCTCCAGGAATGACTCCTCCATCGGTCGTAAATTGCTGTTAGGCACGTCTTCCATGTTTCCAAAGTCTACAAATATTACAAAGGCACTTTCCAATCGTGGTTCAAGACATGCAGCTCTGTACCACTTGCCATCTGTAACAGAAGTTTTAAGTCATTCCTTGCAAAGATCCAGCAAAGTAAAAAACTAGCAAAAGGCTTCATACACTAAAATGGTTGCAACATGGAAACCAATCGAACAGTGGCACTCATTTTGAATTGGTTCTGCTGTTATGGATCTCTGGGCAGACCAGATATTAGCTAATTAGGTCTGGAAACTAGCAAATTCTACAGTTATATGTATAAAAGTAACATGAAAAATAACAGTTGCATAAAATATTATGCAGTTCTCTGCTTGCCCATTCAACCCTCGGATTGATAAGAGACTCCCAACAGAAAGTTATAAGGGGTCACTCCTGTCTCATCAATTTACTGTCTTATTATTCAAGCATATTTGAGACAGATGACAACAATAGAAAACATGGTGACACACATTAAGATCACAGCAAGACCTTCGATACTGTGTGAGATACCTAGGAAGGTTGATGTACAAGGCATCGGAGGAAGCATAAACATGATTTATTCAAGTATACCAAGCTGTATTAATGTCCAGGGCTGACATTCGGGCACGGGGCTTTTGGCGGTCGAACAGGGTCCTGGCTGCTCATTACTTAGTAAACATCCCTGGGCCTCATCAGGCCTATGTCGCTTTGGGTCGGCAGCTGCAGCCAGTTGTCTCGACTTCGAGTTGAGGAGTGAGCAGCAACTGCCTCCCGGGTAAGTCCCTATGTTTTCCTCTGTGGGTAGTTAGGTCCGGGGAGCTGAAGGGGCTTCACCAAGAAAACCAATGTTGAATATAATGAAACTCCATTTTCTGGGTGAGACCCCGGAGGCTCGCCGGCCTCCCTCCCTCCCTCTGGTCGGCAGTTTTTTTGCGTGTTTTGACATCCAGCCACAGAACTGACGGGTGGATAGCCGGTGGAAGCAGCCCGTGACAGCTGACTAACACCCAGGTACCTATTTTACTGCTAGGTAACAGGGGCATAGGGTGAAAGAAACTCTGCCCATTGTTTCTTGCCGGCGCCTGGGATCGAACCCAGGACCACAGGATCACAAGTCCAGCGTGCTGTCCGCTCGGCCGACCGGCTCTGACAATGTACCTAGTAATCCTTGTTTCTTTATTGTGTATTGTTATTATTGTGTATTATTCTGATCTGCTTTTGTGTCATAATTTCTTCAAATTACATGTAAATTTTTTTTGTTGATTTTACTGTAATTATTCTACTTAAAATTATCTGTACTTGTAAAGAAAAGCTGTAAAATACCTGCTAACATTTTTTATCAATTTTACTGTTAATTTATCAGAATTTTTTCTGTTAGTTTAAGGACTTGCCCGAAACACTACGCGTGCTAGTGGCTTTACGAGAATGTTACCTTGAGGTTACCTTGAGGTGTTTCCGGGGCTTAGCGTCCCCGCGGCCCGGTCGTCGACCAGGCCTCCTGGTTGCCGGACTGATCAACCAGGCTGTTAGACGCGGCTGCTCGCAGCCTGACGTATGAGTCACTTTAGGCATGTTAATTCAACTTATTTTCTATATTCTCTGTTAACCCCCAATGTAACTTCTAATATATAAATATATAAACTTCTCTACACCCTACACTTGCAGAGGTGGTACCCCTTCTAGGTATGAAAAAAATAAATAAATAAATAAATAAATAAATAAATAACTATTGTGAAACCTCTTAGTGCTCGCAAAATACAACCAGTAAGTGTTTTAACTTCTTAAATTGATAAATACCTGATTGATGTTTTTTCTTTATTCGATAATTATATTTTATGATAATTAGTGAGTACAAACATGAAACAATTAACACTTTCGCGCCCTGGGCATGTGCGGCGCCCACTTAAGAGGTCATTGCACCCAGCATGCGGTGACACCGAAATGTGTATACTTGTTTCAGTTTTCTTACCTTAATTCTCATGCTACGTCGTTCGTTTTGGTATCATTGTGTTTGCAATAGAATTCCCTACATGTGTATATGCATATAATGTCCAAAAGCCCAGCGTGAATCCCCGCAGCAAAGCCTAAAGTCGGCAAAAGTTACCCGTGAGCGCACAAAATCCGTAAAATGTGCATACTCGTTTCAGTTTTCTCACCTTAATTCTCGTGCTACATTGTTTGTTTTGGTATCATTGTGTGATACGATCACAGTGGCCCAGATGATGATGACGACGATCACAGTGACCCAGATGATGACAACAATCACAGTGGCCCAGATGATGACGATGACAATCACAGTGGCCTAGATGATGATGACGACAATCACAGTGGCCCAGATGATGACGATGACAATCACAGTGGCCCAGGTAATGATGACGACGATCACAGTGATCCATATCACAGTGATCTACATTAATGACCTTCCAAATGCCTCCCAACACCTCAAACCTATTCTATTTGCTGACGACACAACCTTCATTTACTCCAGTCCTGACCCTCTTGCTCTAAATGCCACAGTAAATACTGAGCTAAATAAAGTCCATCTTTGGCTAACTGCCAACAAACTCACCCTTAACATTGACAAAACTTTCTATATTCTGTTTGGCAATAAATCCTCTAGTCAAATAAATCTCAAAATAAACAATACCCAAATTTGTAACAAATTAGATGGCAAATTCCTTGGCATTCTCATTGACCACAAGCTGAATTTCCAGGGACACATTCTAAATATATCAAAAAAAGTTAAAAAAACTGTGGGCATTCTTTCTAAGATCAGATATTATGTACCACGCCCTGCCCTGGTGACTCTCTATTACTCCCTTATCTATCCATATCTCAACTATGGTATTTGTGCTTGGGGTTCTACTACCCAAAATCACTTACGTCCTCTAATTACCCAACACAAAGCTATTAGAGCAATATCCAACTCTGGCCCCAGACATCACTCGGTACCCCTTCTCAAATCTCTGAATATGTTAGACATTAAGTCACTGCACATTCTCTCATGTGTATTATACATATATAAAACGCTAAACTATAATGCCAATCCTGATCTCAAAAGCTTCATAGAAGGTTGTAACAGAACCCATGAGCACCACACCAGAAATAAATACAGTTTTGATATTCCTAGAGTACGACTTAATCAAACTAGAAATGCTCTACAAATCAAGGGGCCCAGAATGTGGAATGACCTTCCCAACCATGTTAAAGACTGTACCTCTCTCAACCAGTTTAAGATAAAAACTAAACACTACCTAATAAATTCCCTGTAACCTACCTCACTCCTCTATTGTCAACCCATGTCTATTATTTTATTTTTTTAATCAACACTGTTTGTCAACCTATTGTAATTGTGCTGCTTTTTCAGTCATGTTCCCCCTTTTTTTATCTTTATTTGTATTTGTTCTCAACACTTTTTATTCTTTATGCTCAATTAGTATTAAGTTCTAGATATTAATGTTTTTCTTGCCCGAAACGCATCGCGTAATAGTGGCTTTAGGCATTGTATGTACTAGCTCTATCTATATATCAATCCATTAATGTAACATCACTTGTATGTATATACCTTACCTGAATAAACATATTTATTTATTTATTTATTAAACATATGATGATGACAATGATCACAGTGACCCAGGTAATGATGACGACGATCACAGTGACCCAGATGATGATGACGACGATCACAGTGACCCAGGTGATGATGACGATCACAGTGGCCCAGATGATGATGACGACGATCACAGTGACCCAGATAGCGACGATCACAGTGGCCCAGGTGATGATAATGATCACAGTGACCCAGATGATGATAATGATCACAGTGGCCCAGGTGATGACGATGATCACAGTGACCCAGATGATGATAATGATCACAGTGGCCCAGGTGATGACGATGATCACAGTGACCCAGATGATGATAATGATCACAGTGACCCAGATGATGATAATGATCACAGTGACCCAGGTGATGATGACGACGATCACAGTGGCCCAGGTGATGACGACGACGATCACAGTGGCCCAGATGATGACGACGACGATCACAGTGGCCCAGATAACGACGATCACAGTGGCCCAGATGATGATGACGACAATCACAGTGGCCCAGATGATGATGACGACAATCACAGTGGCCCAGATGATGATGACGACAATCACAGTGACCCAGATGATGATGACGACAATCACAGTGGCCCAGGTGATGATAGCAATCCCAGTGGCCCAGGTGATGATAACAATCACAGTCGCCCAGATGATGATAAAGACGATCACAGTGGCCCAGGTGATGATGACGACAATCGCAGTGGCCCAAATTATAATGACGACAATCACAGTGACCCAGATGATGATGACGACAATTGCAGTGGCCCAGATTATAATGACGACAATCACAGTGACCCAGATGATGACGACGACAATCGCAGTGGCCCAGATGATGATGACAACAATCACAGTGGCCCAGATTATAATGACGACAATCACAGTGACCCAGATGATGATGACGACAAACACAGTGGCCCAGATGATAATCACAGTGGTCCAGATGATGATTACAATGATCACAGTGACCCAGATGATGATGACAACGATCACAGTGGCCCAGATGATGATGACGATCACAATGACCCAGATGATGGTAAGTACAGTGGCTCCATATAATGATGACAACGATCATAGTGGCCCAGGTAATGATAAAGACAATCACAGTGGCCCAGATGATAAGATGATCACAGTGGCCCAAATATGATGATGATCACAGTGGCCCAGATGATATGATGATGATCACAGTGGCCCAGATGATCACAGTGGTCCAGATGATGATGACGACAATCACAGTGGCCCAGATGATGATGAAGACGATCAGTGACCCAGATGATGACGACGACGATCACAGTGGCCCAGGTAATGATGACAACAATCACAGTGACCCAGTTGATGATGATGGCGATTACAGTGGCCCAGATGAACAAAATGATGATAGAGCATGTTGTGGTTAATGTGGTATTACTAAAATATAGCAACGCTGCAGAGAATATAAGTGTTTACGCAGTGAAACATGGTCCAAACGTTTGTGATGCAGTTCACTGAGATCCAGAAGGATCTTGCCTTAGGGAGCAACTGAATGCATCAACTCAAAAACAAAGTTTAGGTATTTTTTTTATATTGATCGCTGATGCAAATCTGGATTAGCAGTCACACACTCCTTCCTAAGAATAACTAATCTATTTAAATTAGTAGCAAAAAATCCCTAACAAAATCAAATTTAGTCCACTCCATCTTGAATGAACAGTACTGTAGTAGGGTATTCACAATTTATTCCAGTTACTAACCTCAATCTAATAACAATTTAAAAACAAGTTTGACAACACTAAATTCTGATGAAAATGATTAAAATTCAATATTTCAAACCAGGTATTATAAGACTGACTAAATAAGAGCGCATCTTCAACATTAGCTCCATTACCCAGGCACAGAGGCTACCCTCCCCCTACCCATTTCTGGGAACAAAACGGTGGTGGCTCCGTACCTTCGCTGAACTTGCCCAGGCACATTTCTCCAATCTTAGGTCTGTACAAAGAGTTGGGGCGGCTCTCGCAGTAGTTGGTTATGGATGTCGTCATGTCTTCCAGTTCATCAAACAGAAATAGAGAGGCCTGAAGCAGAAAGCAACAAAACATACAATACATATTTTGACTTTTGAATCTATTTCTAGAAACAATTCTAAAATACAGTTTTGTGCAGGAATGTATTAAATTTTTTTTTAACACTAATCCAAAACGTTAAATAACAATATCTAATTTTTCCTTAAATTTCTTACTTACATATAAGTCCTTTTCCTAACAGAGGCTGTCTTGACAAATTCATGTTAGTCCAATAATTGTCACAAGTAGGCAATATAACTTCATATTTAAATGATTCTATGTACAGTATTTTAACGTCAGGGGCTCTTTTTGTTTCAACGGCAATTAAGGAATACTTCCTGGCTACAAAGCTCTTCAGCTTAGTTTTTACACTCCATGACCAGCTCACACAAACATGTATGACACATACATATAAAAGTACACACATACAATAAATAGTCACTACAATGCCACATTTTCCACTTTCATGGAGTGGAAAGGCATCAGTCGAGAGAAAAAATAACATTGAATGTAATGAAATGCCTCCGTTTGGTGGGTCTTCGTGGCTACCCTGCCACCGAAACTTTGTTGCAGCCACCAACTAATGAAAAGTTACCAGGAAGGAATAAACTATAGATATATAGACTTACCTTTGGAATGACAAATATGCTGAGAGCGTCACTAACTTCCATAAGAACAACTTCCACACCTTTGGCTATAGGAAGCACCGTGCTCTTACAGGTATCATACATTGGCACCTTACGCCCGATACCTTTGCTCTCCCTTGTGGGTATAGTAAAACTATCACATTCTGTAATGGAATAATAAACTTTTTACCAGCCTACAAGCATGTTTGCAAGAGATACAAAGCTATTTACTGGTCTTGTCTTAGTATATATTAAAATCAGTCCTATACTTCAAAAGTAAAAAATCAATGTTATTGATGCTTTGCATATCAAATAGTAGATGCCAGTATAATCTATTAAATACACCTGTCATCTAGGGCAGGTGAAGAATTATTTATTTATTTACTTACAGCATTTATTTATTAATTTATGTATATACTGTACAAGAAGATACATTGGGTTTATGAAAGTACATAGCACTGATGTTTTTACATTCTTGCAAAGCCACTAACACACAGCATTATATAACATAGCATAATATGCATTATTTTCACCTTAAATTATCCTCAAAATTACCCTGCTTCGTACTTGGAAAATATACAGACTAACGTCAACACCATCAATGCTTGTGGTGTTTGTAAAATTAGAATCTAGTAAAATGCTTGAAATTTGTAGAGAAAAGTGATCCCACCTCCAAAGCCAACAACACAAAACCCAGCGTTGAATGTAATATAACGCCAATTTCTGGGTGAGCCCGGGTGACTCCCTGATGCTATAGAACCGAGATGGTTTCCTGCTACTAGGTCACATTAACCATGGAGTTCTACAGGACTTTTGGGGGCCAGAGCCAGAATTTGGCCACCTTTGCCAAGACTCAGGGAGCAGTGACATTTTGCCACCTCGCTGGGTAAGGTATCCAGATAGTCAGCGAGTCAAAATAAACCATTGCCTTGTTCAGAAAGAGACCTTGCAACCAGCCTAATGGACTCCCCCTCCAACTATGTAAACAAACCTCCAACTATGTAAACAAATTAACGTAAATGGGTTCGTCCCGACTCCCCCACTCGTTTGTTGGGATGAGAGGAGGGGGGGCTCACCCGCTCCAAGGATCACAGCCATCAGTTCTGGAGCAGATGCACAAACAAAACCAACCTGACCACTTGGAAGGGGGTGGGCAGGGGGGGGTATCAGGAGCCACTAGGGATCACCAGAATTAAGCATTTCATAACAATGGACTCTGGTTTCCTAGTGTGAGCTCTTGTTGCTTCCTGATGCTAACTACTCACAGAAAAGGAAGAACACATGGGAACTTATCAAGGAGGAGGGAAAACTACAAGTCAGGACGAAAGAGAGACCCTGACACGAGAGAGGACACTGAACATTCTCGGAACATTCACCAAATACCAGGCTGTCAGAACCTTGTTAGACTTTCCAGACCCACACACCTGAATATCAGCTCAGGACATATTACCAAACACAGCCATAAGAGCAGCATACTTCTGAGCATTATGGACATGAGGGTAGACTACAGGCTGGCTAGACTTAATAGCACTGTGGATGACTTTAGAAATACAAGCCTTGGAACAGGGAACCAAGAAAACAGGATCATCCAGTAAAACTGCCACTGAAGCAAAATTGGTGACATGAAGGTAGCTGCAAAGAGCCGCCACCAGACACAGCATATAATGCACTCCTGGCTGAACTACTAGCGTCAATAACCAAACGACCCCCTCTGGAAGCCAACTGACATGTTCTTCACCAGAAAAGAAGGAGCTGGCCACAAGTGAACAATATGCCCCCCCTTGGTCCAAAAGAACAAAAACCACACCTGTTGAAAGCATAAAAGCTCCCCAATCCAACAACCAAAGGCAAGAGACACCGAAGACAAGGCCTTATATAAGAATCAAAGACTGAAGGCAAAGTAAAACGAGAATACGGTCCAAAGCCCACATAGGGTTAGGTGGCACATGAGCAGACTGAAGGTGAAACATAAAAAGACAGACTGCGAAAGAGCGCTAAAATAGTATTGATGCTTAATGCAAGCTGTAGCAGCTCCACCAGCACCGCACCATATGAAGCAACAGTATTTGGCATGAGACACTGATAAAAAAAATTGCCAAGAAAGAAAGTCGAGCATCATTGAAGAACAATGATGAAGGGAAAGAAAGTGGGGAGAGGAGCACTACAAAACCTCATACTATCGCCAGGAAAAGGGATGCTGGTGGGACACCATCAAAACAGCCACCTGATTGCCATAAAGATGATGATAAAGATGCATCGAAAACTCCAGATATGAAGAGCCGAGAAGTGCAAACCAGCAAAATACATCACTGGGCTGACCTGGTAGAGGCAGAGCCGTAGAAAAAAACCCATTTCGGACACCGAGCAAGCGGCATCTGAAACCAAGACTGAGCCAGCCAATAAGAAGCCCCTAAGACCCCACTGCCCTGGTAAGACTCCAGCCTGGCCAGGACCAAGAGCAACAGTTGGACTGGGGAAAAAGAGGTACAGGAACCCCCATCTTGATCAGTCCAGCCAATAGGCATCTAATGCATGGACCTTGCTATCAGGAAATGGAGCTTAATAAAGAGGAAGGTGCCATCAGCCATCCAAACATCACAAAAACTAAAGGAAAAAAGTGGCACCAACAATCTACTCCATGGAAAAAGGAAGGAACTGGGACAGCACATCCACTAGAACATTGGACACTACCTTAATGTGAACTGAGTGGAGAACCAAACCCCAGGAACTCAGCAAAAGAGCTACTCTAGCATTCAGCTACAAAGAACAAGGACCAAAGCCAGCCCCCTCCCTCCATGCTGCAAACCCTCACAACATACTGTGAGCTTGGCGAAAGGGAGGAGATCAACAATCTTGGCAGCTTGGTGAGTGCTGATTACAAAGCTACATCCCAGAGCCGAGGCATCCATGACGATGCCGAACAAGGGAGGAGAAAGGCGCCAGGAAACTGAACTCTATAGAGGAAGCCAGCAATGCAGCAGCCAGTGAAGGGCTTACAGAGCCTGCACCCAACGATTGCAGCTGTGCCAAAAGGGACTGAACCAGAAATACCAGAAAAGCCACCAAAGCCAGACTTTGCCAAGAGGAAAACTATGCAGGCAAAGTCTAGGAGCCCACACAACCGCTTGAGCAACCATAGAGTTACCTAAGCCGACACGACACCAACACACCAGCGACACTGCAGCCAGGACAAGGCAGCCGATGGAAGGAAAAATGAACCCGATCGAGTCTCTCACAAGTTACCCAGCCTAGTCTGAACCTGGGAAAGAACCAACTGGGATTTCCATCAGTTCACCATGAACCTGAACCTGGCGAGTTGGGAAAGAACCACATCTCTGGCTAGAAGCCATGCAACCAACTGGGAGCCCCACACTACCCAGTTGTCAAGGTAGACCAGAACTGAACTTGATGCCCCACCACAAAACCTACCCAATCCCTGACCCTAGAATGTATAGGGTTGTGCCAATATGCATCCTAGAGGTCCAGGAATATCATCAAAACGTATCGGATACATAACCTATACCACTGTACACGAGCAAAGAGTACCCGTAAGAAAGAAGCCACCCGATATGCCCTAACCTCACTGGGAGGGTCAGAAAGAACAGCCACATGGGAAGAGCAAACCCCACAGAATTCAGGGTCAAAGGTGTCATCGTTCCACATGGCAGTGGCAGAACAAATGATCTTTGTCCTGTGGCACAGACGATGAGCAACCATTGAGCTCTCACAAGATGAGACAAGGTCCAGGGTATACCCATAGGACCATTGATTTTAGGTCCGCAGGACCTAACAGAAAGCCGACACAGCCTGAGTTACACAGCAGTGAAGGCTGATCTCTACATGCTGAAGGAAAGCCCATGAACCACCAGTGTGCCCTGCCAGCCCAAGTCACTCCCAACCCAGGCTAAGACAGAGAACCCACAAGACCCCATCAGTCACCCTAGGCAAGGGCCACCACAAGCACGGTGGATCATTAAAGCATTAAAGGAGTGAACTCCCAAACATGTTATCGCATACGATCATTATCACATACTACTCGATAATGGTCCAGGATGGACCGAAACATTGTCATTGCTCCATCTTCTGGTGTGTGGTTTGGTCATCATATCTTCAGCCACGTTATTGTGACTCATCGTCAGCAAACCCCAAACACTCCAGAAAGTAAACTCCGACAGTGCAAGGGCAGCACTAGCGAGCACATTGGGAAGGTAGCCTTGATCATATGCAACTCCAAGCACTAAGTATGCCTGGCTCATGCTACACTGCATTATACAATACGATGTTTATTCACAAGACTGTGTGTACAAAGAACATAAGAGTAATGTACAATTGTAGGGACAGGGGTTACACAATCTATGGAGCCACTATTACGCAAAGCGTTTAGGGCAAAAACATTGAGTGTTTCTTGTGCAGTGCACGAGAAAAGCCACCAAGGGCAAGGACCCCAAAATCCCATAGCTAAACAGTGAAGCCCACACAGCAGAGGTGACCTGGGAACCACTACAGCAGTCAAGTGACCTCGATCGCATCACTGTATGAACAGCTCACACTCCTGGAAGGGATGAGCCTCTTGTACCCAGATTATTGTGTAAAAAATTAGGTAGAGTTTCTCTCTTTCAATGTACTGACAGTGGTAATAGTTTATGGAGCATGTGAAACTGACCACACACTGCCTCGAATCGATTTGCTACACCTATAACCTCCTTCACAAGCTCCATAAACTACTTCCACTGCCAGTGCATTGAGAGAGACTACTTAATTTTTACACAATAATCTGGGTACAACAAGCCTCCCTTCCTCCCAAATGTGTGAGGGAGGCGAGGCAAACGAGTTTATGCTACTTTTGAGAGATGCGATCATTTGTTTATATAGTTGGGGAAGTTCATAAAGACAGGTTGCAAGGATTCAGTCTCTCAACACAGCAGTAGTTTGTTTTGACTCGCTGACTTTCTGGATGCCTTCCCTGGTGAGGTGGTGAAATGTCACCTCTCCCTGTGCCTCTGTGAGGAGGGGGCCAGGATCTGGCTCTGGTCCCAAGTAGGCCTAAGAACTCCACAGCTGATGTGACTGGTAGATGGAAACCATCTGAGAGTATAGCTTCAGGGAGCCACAATTAAGGGACTCCCCACAGAAAATAAACATTTAGATTAACAAAAATAAATGA